GCTCGGCTCGGCTCGGCTCGGGATGCTGCTGCGGGTGCGCGCTGCCGTGGCGCAGCTGGCGGCGGGGCTGGGCGCGCAGCCCCCCGCAGAAGCCCGGGGCGGCGGGGCAGGAGCCGGGGCCGGGCGGGGATCGCCGCCGCCAGCCGCGTTCTGCCGGCCGGCCTTCCTGCAGCTGACTCCCGAGGAGCTGCGCCGCGCCGACGACCACACGGGGCGGGCGGTGCAGAGCCCCCGCGACGGGCGCCGCCGCCTGCCCTGGAGCACGGGATACGCAGAGTGAGCGGGGCCGGGAGCCGGGTTGCAGCCGGGGAGGGCAGGACGGCACCGCTCGGCGCTGCAGCCGTGGGCACGAAAGTGGGTCGCGGCGGGCGGTGAGCTGCGCCTGTCCCTTTTCCAGCAGCAGCAGCGAGGAGCGGGCGCTGTGGGTGCCCCTGATGGGGGAGCACCAGCGAGGGGCTGGGGTCTCCCCGACCCCGCGGGTTTAGGCTCTTGTGTCCGCTTTGTTCTGCGCTTTCTGCACAACACCCGCTGTCACCGAGGGGTACCGAGGGCGAGGGAGCTGCGGCGCCTCTAGCAGGATGCTTGGGGAGCAGGGACCGGGGGATTTCTTGGGAGTGAGACTACTTGAGACTTCCCCTTCAAGGACCTGATTGTCGTCTTCTTTCACTAGCTGCGAGTTTCAGCCCTAACTGAAAGCGGGCGGGAAGGTCAGTCTTTGAAGGCTTTTGCTGCTATTTACTGTCAGCCCACTCCCGCATCCCTTCCTCAGGCTGATCTTCCCGATATCCTAGAGAGTTGTATGAGATGTTGATTTCCCCTTGGAGGTAGTGGGGTAGGAGTACCCAGAATGAAAAAAAAAAAAAAAAATCCCCTTTTTGGTATCCCAAGAGTTCTTCTGCAAACCAGTTTGGAAGTCTGCCCAAATTAAAATCACCCTGCTGTGTTTACAGCTTCATCCTGTGAGCAGGTTCTGCAATCTAGACCTGAAATCTGCTGTTGTTAGCACAGGCTGGGAAAAGTCAGTGTGAATCTTTTTGCAAAAGTTCTGCCGGTTTCATCATCATCACCTTCTCCCCTCCTTCCCTGAGCCCTCTGCGCCCCCGAAGAGGTGATGGGACATCGGTGAGATGTGGTTCTCTCTGTGTGTCCCAGGGGGGTATATCTGAGGCTGATACAGGTTTTGAGGCAATTATTCTGCCTGGGGCAGTGCTAGGGACCTTCAGCAAACCCAGTTTATTTCTGGTCACCTCCCCTGGTAGGTGTGTGGACAGCTGCTCCCCCCTGGACCCAGCTGTGGGTGGGACTCAATGCTGCTCCTGGCCCCAGATCAACCCATACAACTGGTCTGAGACACCTGGGACAGGATAGGAGCATTGTGCAGACCATCCCTGGCATCTCTGGGGACATGGGGGCATGAGTGGAGGGGAGGGGGTATGGGGGGAGAGATGCTGTGGGATGGCATTTGCTGGAGCATGATGTGAAAGAAAGGGCCTTTACACCTTTTTTCCTCCTGGCAGGGTGATAAATGCAGGGAAGAGCCAGCACAATGAGGACCAGGCATGCTGTGAGGTGGTGTTTGTGGAGCAGAGGCCCAGCCCAAGGGGCTGGCTGTCATCCAGGGAAGACAGCGAGGAGTTGGATGGGGTGAGAGCCGTGGTGGGTCACAAGTAGGGACACAACAGGGAGGATGGCCAGCAGCAGGGCATGAGATGGGACACATGGCAGTGTGTGCACACTGGGGATTCCCTCCGTTCATGGTGCTTCTCTCTCCTGCTCCTGCCATCCTACGTCTCCATGTGACTACACCAGGGCTGGCCCAGGGACACCAGTGGCCCACGTGCCCTGCTGGGCTGCAGAGGAGGCTGCTGGAGGCACGAGGTGTCTGACACAGGGCTGGGCTCCAGCCAGGGATCAGCTATGTCCAGACACCCTTGGTCAGCTGCCCACATTGCTGCTGCCTGCACTGAGACCCGTGAGACTCGTGTCACTGTCCTCAGCTGGTAGCCCAGCTGCTCTGAATTCCCCATGCCATCTGCTTCCTTGCAGGCTCATTTAACCTTCCCTCTTCTCCCTGCAGGGCAGGAAAGGTTTTTATTTCCACTACTGGGCCTTGTTTGATGGCCATGCAGGCAGCGGGGCTGCTGTCATGGCATCCGAGAGGCTCCACCTGCACATCTGTGAGCAGCTCCGGGACCTCGTGGAGATCCTGCAGGACCCCTCCCCACCTCCCATCTGCCTCCCATGCGAGGCACAGACTGGTTCTGCAGATCCAAACCAGATGTCCTATGCAGAGGACCGTGGGGAGGTCCTGAACGATGCTGTGCCACGGTTTCACCTGGAGAAAGCTGTGTCCCACGAGAGCCTGGTGATTGGTGCCATTGAGAATGCCTTTAAGCACATGGTGAGGATTCTCTGCCTGTGAAATCATCTAGGGCATCCCCTGAGAGCACCTCTTTGCTGTCTGTGTCTGTATCAGCTTGACCCCACTGATAAAAGGCAGCTCTGAGCAGGGAGGGGACCACAGGGAGGGGTCCAAGCATGATCTCAGAGGGGGCTCTGTGATGTTCTGCATTTTGAGCTTTCAGAACGCAGAGCTTTGGGCTCCAGGCTGTGTGCTGCAGGGGGCTTCGCTGCACGTTGTTCCAGGAGGCCCACCTGCTCCCCTCCTGCCTTGCTCTTTCCTGCCCCAGTGAAGCCACATCCCTGGATGCCCCACAGGACCCCTGGCCCCTCAAGCCCTACAGCTACTCTGTGGCTGTGTGGGGAAAGGTACCCTGGCTGGTCTCTGCTTCCCACCTGGAGCTGAGGTGCTGCTGGAGCAGCCAGGTGCTACTTGGGGTGGCCCACCTACCCTGCAGCCTCTCTGTCTCCCCAGGACGACCAGATCGAGCGGGAGCGGGTGTCCCAGCACCTGGCTGGGGGGTGCTGCGCCCTGGCTGCCATCTACCTCATGGGCAAGTTCTACGTGGCCAACGCTGGTGACAGCAGGTACAGCCCCACAGGGCAGCCCTCGGCTTTTGCTCAGTGACTGGGGACACCCCAGTCGAGTGGTGTTGCCAGAGGTATGGCTGGTGAGGAACGCCCAGCTCCAGCCCTGTCGAGGGGAGGGTGAAGGTGGCAGAGCTGGGCAGAGTCATCCCCTGCCTGCTCCATGCCTCGGGAACAATGTACTCTGCTGTGATCTCTGTGTTTGCCAGGTACACAGACAGGGCTGTAGAACTGCCTCCCAAAGTCTGGGATGTGCTCCCTTCTTTCCTAACATCCTCTCTGCTTCTCAGATGGCTCTGGATACCCTGGCCCCTGCTGCTGGCACAGGCCTGGGCTGCAGGTTGGAGAGTGAAAGTTGCACTCAGCAAAGCTTTCAAAAATGTGCAAAAAGTAATTTTAGAGTACACTTCATACCAGAGACCTGTTTCAGGAGAAGGACACGAATCTATGTGCAGTGGGAGCTTGGAGCCCAAGAACTGTAATTGCTGTAGATATTTCCAGGGGTGGGCTAATGTAACTACACCTGTGTTACATTTCTGTACCTGTGCCCACACTGCAAAGCAACGGCAGAAGGGCAGGTCCACCTTCCATTTAAGGTGACCCTGCAGGTGAAGCTGGTTTGAACTGCCTTGTATTTATCATGGGATCAAAGAATGGTTTGGGTAGGAAAGGACGTTAAAGCTCATCTTTGACCCCCTGTCATTTGCAGACACCTTCCACTAGCCCAGGTTGTCCCAAGCCCTGTTTGACCCGGCTTTGAACATTTCCAAGAATGGGGCAGCTCCAGTTGCTCTGGGTATTTACTGCAGGTTACCTTGTCCTCAGCAATGTCAGACCAGCAAATACAGGCTCTGGTCTGTTGTCTGAGGCTGGATGTGCTTCCGGCTCTGGGACAAAGAAGGAGATCCCTTGTTTTGGGTGCAGGTGCCCCTCCATGTCAGCAGCAGCCAGGCACGGGCCAGGCAGGATGTCAGCATGCACAGAGTGCAGAGTCCTGAGGTTGTAACTGTGCCTCTGCGCAACAGCCACTGCCAAGCTGAACTCAGCTGGCCTTACATTGTTGGAGCAGACTCACAGCTGACTCACAGTGTTGGAGATCCTTGGGCCTACCATGACATCCAGAAACATCTCATAATCAGACCTTTATGTTTTCTTGAGACATTAAACTGTAAGAGCAGACCCAGCAGCAAGTCACAGTGCTGTTGTGGGATGGGCACATGTAATTCTGCTGCAGGCAATTTCTGCCCCTGCTGTGTGCAGGTTCCCCCTAAAGGGAGCCTTTTTGCTACTCTTTTTCTAACCATATTCTGTCCTTTGATTTGGTCTGCTTCATTCCCCTCTGCCCCATGCTTTCCCATTTCCCCTTCCTTCCTGCCCCACTGCCCAGGGGGAGCAGTGAATCCAGGAAGCAGCCCCTACCTCAGGCTGGGAAAAGGGTGGGCAGCAGAGGGAAGGGGATGCACCACTCCTGGGAATCAGCCCTGGAGAGCCAGGCGCAGCTCCTCTGCCAAGTCTCCTTCTCTCTAATCTCATCCTTCCATGTTTCATTGCAGGGCCATTATCATCCGTAATGGGGAAATCATTCCAATGTCCAGGGAGTTTACTCCAGAGACAGAGAGGCAGAGACTGCAGTTTTTAGTAAGAAAGACCTTTCTTCTAACCTCATTCCTGCTGAAACACCTCCTGGCCTCTTCCCAGTCCCCTGTGCTGCCTGCTGGACTGCTGCCATGGTGGGGTTCTGGACCCAAGGGCAGCCCCGCGGCTGGGACCTGCTGTTGGCACTTGTCCATCCCAGACTGCTTCCTGGGATGGGGAGAGGCACTGGGATGCAGGGAGCTGGCACAGGGGCGTCTTGTGGCTGGCAGAGGCCTGGTTTGCTGTGGCTCAGTGTGAGGGTCTGTGACGGTGAGCCTGGCAGAGCTGTGACATGGAGAGCCCAGGCTTTTGGCATGGGGCTGGGTTGGTATGTTTGCATGGAGCCAGTTAGGTCCATCTTGTCCTGTTGCTGCCCAGGGAACAGGGAGCATCCCCTGCCTGGGCTGCTGTGACCTGGGGGAGTGCAGCTTGGCTCCCTCTATCCACTGTGCTCCCTTTCAGTGTCAGAGGAGCTGCAGTGCTCCTGCCGAGCCCTACTTTCTTTCCTGGCTGCTCCCCGGAGAGTGGCAGCTGATGTGTGCCAACGTTTCTGTCTTTTGTTCTGGCAGCTCCATGTCCCGCTCTGGGGTGGACCTCCTGGTGCCACCCAGAGAGACTCTTTAAGGTTATAAAGACCTCTCTGAGGGCAGCACAGGGAAGGAGGAGTTTGTGTTGGAGAAGGTCTTGCTGGATGAAATTTCCTGGCTTGCAATGTACTTGGAAAATCACGGAGGTGTTTTTTCTTGAATCTATTTTTGAATGACCCAGAGGAGGAAACTGCTGTGATCAGAATCCTCCTCAGCTGGCTGCAAGGGGCTGGGCACAGGCACATGCTGCTCTGCCACATGGTGCTGAGGCTGGGGTCAGGGCTTCCCCAGAGTGGGCTGGGGGTCTCCATGCCTCTGCTCCAACCCCCTGCCATCCCATCTTCCCAAGGGATCTCCTCTTCTCTTCCTGCTTTTCTTTCCCTGACAGCATTTTCCAGCACTCCCTGTTCCCGGTCCCCTCCACACTGTCTTCCATGAGGGCTTGGGGCTGCCCTGGGTAGGGCTCTGTGCTGCTGCTTGTCCCTTGTCATGGTCACAGCTGGGACACAGCTTCAGAAAAGACCCATCACTCTTTTCTTTGGGTGAGTGCCATGCCCTGCACTGAGCCTGGGATCCTGGGAGGTTTGCAGCTACGACTCCTTCTGAGTAAATTCCAGCTTCTCTTGGATATTTTTGGGGTTTGATTGATCCCTTTTGGAGACCTTTATTTCCCAAAACTCTCTATGCAAAAGCTTCACCTTCTTGCTGAGTGCTGGCATGGCTGTCCTCAGCTCCAGTTTCCCCTCTGGCTTAGCACATGTGGCTGGTTTGAAGCTGCTTTACCAGCACCTATTCAAGTGGCTCCAGAGCAGCTGAGGTTATCCCACCACGGAATGCTGTAGCCGAAGTCCCGGTGGACGGTGGATCCTGATCTGGGCAGGGCTGGCTCCACAGATCCTGCTCTCCCAGCCCCGTGGCTGAGGCAGCACTCCTTCCTGCAGGCATTGCTGAGGCCCGAGCTGCTGGGGAAGGAGTTCACCCACCTGGAGTTCCCCCGCAGGATCCAGCCCAAGGAGCTGGGCAAGAAGATGCTCTACAGGGACCAGAACATGAATGGCTGGTAACCCAAAACCTGCTGGCAGCACTGGGGTCCGTCTGGGGTGGCTGCTCATCTCTGGCATCCCATCCCATGGGGCAGGGGGCTCTGGCACACTGGGGACCCCGGCCCTAAGTGGTCAGCAGAGGTGCTGGAAGCTTCACCTGCTGACACCTTGTCTCTGGCGTATTTTAACCAGGGCTTACAAAAAGATAGAAGAGGATGACCTGAAGTTTCCACTTATCTTTGGGGAAGGCAAAAAGGTAAAGTGCTGTGGCAGAAGCTTGGCAGGCATTGTTTCCTGCCTGCTGTCACTGTTTTGGGGGATTTCAGCCCATTTTTGGTAGTGCTGTCGTCACCAATTCTCAGCTGGGAATAGAACTGGAGATAAAGCTGCTTAAAGTCCTCTTTTGATTCCACCATTCTCCAGGCTCGGATGATGGCCACAATTGGGGTCACAAGAGGCCTGGGAGACCACGACCTCAAGGTGTTCAGCTCCAACATCCACATCAAGCCTTTCCTGTCCTGCTTCCCAGAGGTAAGCCTGGCTGCCAGCTGCTGCGCACCCAGGGGTCCCTGCAGTGGTCAGAGCCACTCGGCAGGACCAGATCCACGATATGGCCAGGGCAGCAGGAGCCTCCTTGCCTCTCACCCTTGCCTCTTGCTGTTGCCTCCCAGGTCAGGGTTTATGACCTCACGCAGTATGAGCACTGCCCTGACGATGTTCTGGTGCTGGGCACCGACGGGCTCTGGGATGTCACCAATGACAAGGAGGTGGCTGCTGTGGTGATGGAGGTGCTGACGAGCTATGAGCCCAACGACCCGTGCAGGTGAGCTGCAAGTGGGCAGGGGGACAGGCGTGTCGGGTGCTCCACCACCTCCCCTTGGCCTGGCTCCTCAGAGCAGTGTTGTGGCCATGCAGCCCTCTGGGCTCCACAGAGTGCATTGCTCCCCTGGATGTGCACATCTGAACCTGGATCTCTCCAAGGGACCCTTTCCTGCAGCTCTAGCTGCTCTAGCTTCTTCCCTCTTGCCCGGATGCTGCCTCCGGGGGTGTGGAGTCACTGCTGAGCCGTGCTCTGCTGTGCCTCCAGGTACACCATGGTGGCCCAGGAGCTGGTGGTGCGGTCACGGGGGGTGCTGAAGGAGCGTGGCTGGCGGCTTGCCAATGACAAGCTGGGCTCTGGCGATGACATCTCTGTTTTTGTGATCCCCCTGGGCGGCCCCGGCAACTACACGTGATGCTGAATGAGCCTGGGGCAGCGGGGCTCTCCTTGCCTGGATGGAGACACTGGAGTGGGACACTGAGGCTGCCTCCTCTAAGCACTTGTGTTTTGAGCCGACTGCAAGGAGAGTAAGAAACCTGGAGCTTCAGTCTGTGCTCCTGTCCAGGGCATCCCCCTCCGCCTGCTTGCATCCCAGTCCCAGGTGGAGATGGAGAGGCCTTGGATAGAGTGTGAGCACTGGGGCTGAGGGATGTTTTTATGCTGCAACTTTCTCAATGCTGTGAAAAGCCTGAAGGCTCCTTGGCTCCTCATGTCCTTTGCTTCTTGCCATGCCTATGCTGACTGCAGCCCTGTGTGACAGCCACGGGGCTGCTGTGCGCTCATACCTGCTGCAGTCACCACCCATCTCCTGCCCCGTGATGCTCTGGCCAGTGACACCGAAGCTGCTGCTGGAGGTGGGAGCTGGGGCTCAGATGGGATGTGACTGGGAGTAAAGTCACAGGCAGCTGGGCAATGGAGCTGGCACAAGTCCAGTTGTGGCTCCACAATGGCCATCCCAGCCTTGTGCTCCAAATTTTCAGCCCCTCACACCTTCATTCTGTCATGGACTTTGGCTCAGTCTCCAGTCTTGGAGATTGGAGCAGTGACCAAGCTCTGCCATGCACCAGACCCCTGAGGAGGGATAAGCAATTGCACCAGCACTGGTTGTGCCACAGGTTGTACCCCCATCTTCCTCATGTCTTGGATCGCTGCAGTGCTTCTGGAGCTAGTTCTTTGTTAACTGGAGAGCTGAGCTGGAAAATGTCTAAATCCTTTCTTGGTGTGGAGAGTCTATGAATGTATGTCTATATTTTGGAGTGGTTCTGAGTTAGCAGCCTCACACAGAACAGCCCTATTCAGGTGAGCTTAACAGCTTAACTGCACTGGATCTGCTTAGCCCAGGGCTGGGAACCCACAGTAAAAGCAGCTTGGTGTGACCAAGGCAGGGAAAGACAGCTCCTGTGTTTTCCTCAATGATCTCAGAACTGGTGCAGAGGGGAGCTGAGCAGTTGATCTTTGCACTGTATTTTTGTATCACACACATCACTAACCTGGAGCATCCATTTCCCAGACCTCTGCAGAGTCCTAAACTGTGAGGGATTGTCCCATCCTGGCAGTGTGGGGATGGGGAGAGCTGGGCCATGGTTCCTTGTCTGGGAAGGGCTCTTGTGGCACCAGTAGTTCGTATCCTGTCACTGGCTGCAGCCAGCTTTTGTCAAGTGTCACCTCTAGTGAATGTTGTTTTTGTCCTGTAACCAGTGAGATGTAAATAAACTGGGTGCACACAATGGAAAGTGAAAGTTATGGAGGGTATTTGAACCTGTTGGCATCCATGCTGAAGGGAGTGGTGCTGGGGCCGGGAGCCTGTCCTTGTGTAGCACTCTGTGTTTAAATAAAGATTTTGCCACTCACAGTCCTACTTCAAAGTCTTTCTTTGCAGAGCTCCTGCAAAGAAGACTTACCAAAAAGCCAATTAGCTCTGATTAATTGAAGTAGGCAGGCAAACAGGCCTGCACAGAGCCATGTGTGCTGCTGTCCATCTGCCCTTGGCGCTGGTCAGAGCCTTGCAGCACCCATCCAGCACCCGTGGGCAGTGGGAGCCGCTGGTGTGCTGCCGGGGATTTGGACCCCTGGGTGTGGCTGGGAGGCAGCAGCAATGGCCAGTCTGGTGGGAACAGGGAGGGAGGAAAGACTCATGGTTTTCCTGTCTTCGGGGGAGGGAGTGGGGCAGGCTGTGGCTCTGAGGAATGTGACTATCCCTCTCGGGGAGTTCAGCCACTCAAGCAGCAGCTACTTCTGCCTCGAGGGTGGGCTGCCTGCTGGAAACATCCCCACATCCCTCTGACGGCCACCTGGTACCCCTGATACTCCTGATGCTCTCTTCACACTTGTTTGCACAGCCCCGTTCCCCTGGCACATTCCTTTTTACGCTGTGGCTGAGAACTGGCTCTGCTTTTCCAGGTCACTGCCTGGCTGTTGGATAAGACAACGAGGCAGTGGCTGCTGCATTTAAAGCTTCCTCTGTGGTTCCCTTTTTTACTAAGGAAACATTTCCTTTGGAACCAACTCCTGGCCTGGGGCTCGATAAATAAAGAAAAATAGTCTGCAAGTCCTTAAAATAGCAGCGGTTTATGAGCCTGGGTCTGGGCCAGGCTCCTGGGGCTGCCTTTCCCTGGCTGAAGGACGGGAACTCTGCCCCGCAGCTGGATGTCCTGGGGGGAGAGCCAGCGGTGGGCACGGGGAACCGGCGGCCCACCAGGGCACTGGGGTCACCTCAATGCAGGGAGGCACGGCAGGGCACAGCCCCGCTGTGCCAGCGGCCCTGGGGGGACCTGGGGACAAGGCACGGCCCTCAGCCACCTCTGTCACAGCGGCAAGTGGCCTGGCTGCTGCTCTCACCTGCCGCGGGGCCGCAGCTCAGCCTCTCCCCACTTGGCCTCGGGAAATGACCCGGTGAAACTCCCACGGGCTCCGCGGGGAAACGCCGGCGGCTCGGCGTGTCCCGGAGCCGGGCGGGCGCAGCGCTGGAAACGGCTCGGCTCGGCTCGGCTCTGCACAGCCCCGCTCGGCTCGGCTCGGCCCCGCTCGGCTCGGCTCTGCACAGCTCCGCTCGGCTCGTCTCAGCCCCGCACGGCTCGGCTCAGCCCCGCTCGGCTCGGCTCGGCACAGCCCCGCTCGGCTCGTCTCAGCCCCGCACGGCTCGGCTCAGCCCCGCACGGCTCGGCTCAGCCCCGCTCGGCTCGGCTCGGCACAGCCCCGCACGGCTCGGCTCGGCTCAGCCCCGCTCAGCTCCGCGCAGCCCCGCACGGCTCGGCTCGGTTCGGTTCAGCCCCACACAGCTCGGCTCAGCCCCGCTCGGCTCGGCTCAGCCCCGCTCGGCTCGGCTCAGCCCCGCACGGCTCGGCTCAGCCCCGCTCGGCTCGGCTCGGCACAGCCCCGCACGGCTCGGCTCGGTTCGGTTCAGCCCTGCACAGCTCGGCTCAGCCCCGCTCAGCTCCGCGCAGCCCCGCACGGCTCGGCTCAGCTCAGCCCCGCTCAGCTCCGCGCAGCCCCGCACGGCTCGGCTCGGTTCGGTTCAGCCCCACACAGCTCGGCTCAGCCCCGCTCGGCTCGGTTCAGCCCCGCTCGGCTCAGCCCCGTTCGGCTCAGCCCCGCTCGGCTCGGCTCAGCCCCGCTCCGCCCGCCGAGGGCGGCCCCGGCCGGGGCGGTGCCCGGGGCCGCGCGGCGCGGCCGGGACGGAGCGGGACGGAGCGGGACGGAGCGGGACGGAGCGGGACGGAGCGGGACGGAGCGGCGGAGAGAGGTGCGGGTGCGGGAGCCGAGCGCGGCGGGGGCACTGCCGGGGCTCGGGGCAGCTGCGGAGTGGGGACACTGCTGGGGAGGGGGCGCTGCTGGGAGTGGGGCCAGAGCTGCGGTCTGGGGAACTGAGGTCTGGATTGATGGGGTTTAAGTTACTGGTGGAGTCTGGAGAAACAGGGCTTTGTGGATACTGGTAGGGTTTGGGGGAACTGGGATCGGGGTTTACTCCTAGGGTTTGGAGGGATTGAGATCTGGGTCTAGCAGTGGGATGTGGGGTCACTGACTCTGGTAAGGTGTGGGCTCAAAGGTGGGGTTACTGGGCTGTGGGGTCAGTGCAGGCGTGGGGCAATGGGGCACAGGGTGGGTGGCCAGCAGGGCTGCTGGGTGGGGTGCAGCAGGACAGGGTGGGCTGGGGGTCCATGGCTGTGGTGAGGGATGGGTCAGCTGTGCCTCAGTTACTGCAGGTTGTCATTCCTTGAGGGTGGCCTTGGGCTGTGGGTCCCAACTTGCAGTTGTCTCCCAGGCAGTGTCTGACCTCGGATGGGAGCCTGGGGGCTGCTGCCCCATCCCACATCCCTCCCCACAACCCCCCCTCCAGCAGTATCCCCATGTACAGCCTTGCTCATGGAGTGGCCACTCCGTGTTTTCTTCAGAAAGAGGGAAAAAAGTTCCCTTTCCTTGCTGCTGAGCTCATTCTTAAACATTTATGTTAGGGGGGTTTGTGGGGAGGGGAAATAATTGTGTAATGTCCTAGGAGCAGGGGAGCATTCCAAAAGCATGACTGCGTGGCCTTTTCCAGTGCTAGCAGTCTGGCAGCCAAGTCTCTCCATGGCCGCCAACCTCCCGAAACCCAGTCCCAGCCTCTCAGCACCCTGGGGGAATGGGAGTGTGATCCCTGGCTTCCATCTGTGTGGGGTGGGCTGGGAGCAAGGGCCTGGCTGAGCCCCCCAGGCCAGCACCCCTGGGAAAGTGTTCCAGGGGAACCTGGAGACTGGAGGTGGTGGATTGCCTGGCTTGTGTGTCATGGGAACCAATTGCATTTTGTTTCTATTTTGCCAAGTGCTTTTGGTGTCCAAACGGTTTCAGTTTATGTCCAGCTGCTCAACTCAGGTAGCTACTGCGTGAGATTTTGTGGACTTTCACTTGCATCCAGGTTCCTGACAGCTGCAGCTTCTCTGGGGAAATGTCTAAGTGGAAAATAAGCCAAGTCACTGTCTTCCAACAGGTTATCGGGAGCGTTTAACCAGGCTCACCTCCCAACTTGCCGTTTGCACTGGAGAGGCATATTGACATGAAAAGTAAGGAAGTGTATTAGCAAACATTGATCGGCGCTGAGGCAGGCAGGTGTTGCACAAGTACAGGCATCTGCTGAGATTGTGGCGTGTTATTTGGAGCTTCCAGCAAGACACTTGCGCTACCGTGAGGCTGGGAAGGCTGTCACTACTGCAGGAGGTAAAATAAGAACATGGCATGATGTCCTTTGGAAAAGGAGGTAAGGGCAGGCAGCTTTTGCCTCAATGCTCAAACACTTGTGGTTTGAGCTTTATTTAGGCTTTCAAATTCTTCTGTTCCAAGTTCCTTTCTCTGTTTTGCTTGTGGATGTTTTTTATGGGATTTAGCAATGAAAACGAGCCAGCCTGGACACTCTGCTCCAGGTCTGGGTCTGGACAGTTGCCCTTTGCCACTGGAGTGTGCGTTAAGCCCAGCCTGCCTGGTTGTGCCCAAAGAATGTCTCCAAAAAAATGGGTAAGGTCTAAACTTGAGCACTGGGTTGAGCTCCTATTTTGACAATCCCTTGTTCGGATATAGCCGGTCTAGAGGTCTGAGGAAGGTTTCAGTCAGCTCTCTCAGTGGTAAATACGGACATTTTCCTTGGAGCTGGGTGGTTTTGGCAGGCGAGCCGGGAGGCTGGGAGCAGTGGGGGATGTGGGTGGGCAGGGGTCAGCCCGGGGTGTCGGTGATGGCTGTTGGCCTGGGCGAGGGCTGAGGGTGAGGGCTGAGGGCTGAGGGCTGAGGGCTGAGGGCTGAGGGATGGTCTGCACTGCACAAACTGTGCAGCTCGTCCAGCCCAGGGGGTGGATGAGTGTGAAATTATAGATGCTGCTTTGCCAAAGCCAGCGCCACTTGGATGGTTTTGAGCTGCGATCCTCCCAGGAGCCCACGCTCTGCCCGGCACATTGCATTTCCCCTTACCATTGCTGTTTGCTTCCAGCCCTTTTTGGAAACTTTTTCTGCCTTTCAGCCTTAATAAGTCTATGTTTCTGTAGTAAGAGTCCCTCTGGTGTTTGCAGCAGTGGCCGAGACACTTGTCCTGTACTACCTTGGCCATGGCTTAGGTGTCTCAGCAAATGAAATTATCCACAGTGGGCATTCCTGTGGGGCTTTAATTTGGAAGTTTATCTACTTTATCATTGTACCAGTGAGTCCAAACTGCTAAAACCATTTCTGCAGTGGAACTGCCCCATGGCTCTGGGGATATCCCTGTTGGGGGTGTCCCTGCCAAGGGGCTGCTCCCAGCACAGCTCTTTCCCCCCAGCCCTGCCCAGGTTGAGAGCTGTGCCTCTGGCCAGGGCTGTGATCCCTGGCGTGACCGGTCTGACCAGGGTGGGGCCCTCAGCAGTGCTTGGGAATTTCTGCTTTAGAACAAAACCCCTCTGTTACCTCTAGGAAGTCGAGTCTGGCCTAGGAGGTTCATTGAAAGATTTCTGTCCCTGGTTGGAGTCCTTCAAAGCATTAACATCTTTCTCTGCTATTCCCGAGTCCCCATAGCAGACATTGGGTGATGGACACATCCTGCTGCCAGAGGAATTCCCTATATCCTGCTCAGCAGGAGCTTCACAGTTTGAGGCACAAAGCTGGGAGAGACCAGCAACACGAGGGCTGCGCTGGAGCCTGGCTGATTTTATGGTGATGGCTTTAGAACAGTTGCTTGGAAAGTAGAACAGAGCAATTTGGGGTCATGTGGCAGCTTTTTGGTGAGCTGGAGGAGATGCCTGCTCGGGATTTGGCCGGTGCTGGCAGTGGTGGCACAGATTAAACCCACAGCCATCCCCGTGTGGGCCCAGCCTGCCTGCAGCAGCAGGTGCAGGGATGGCACGGGAGCCCTGTGGGGTTGGGCAGTGGGAAATGCTGGCACGCAGCTGCTGCTCCCTTTTGTTTTCTCCATGGATGAGCAGGAGGCATTTCCAGCGCGGCCCTTTGAGTGCTGCTCACACCCAAGAGTTGCCAGTTTGGATTGCCAGCGTGGTCTGGGCAGCACTGGCTGTGTTTTGGGGTGGTTGGCACTTCACAGACTTTGAAGTCTCAGCTTCCATGTCTGTTGTGGATGACTGTGTGCTTTTAATCATTTGGCCTGATGGCAGTTGTAGTGAAGCTGTCTTCAGATTATCATAGAATCCCAAAATGGTTTGGGTTGGAAAGGACCTTAAAGCCATGGCAGGGACACCTTCCACTGTCCCAGGCTGCTCCAAGCCGTATCCAACCTGGCCTTGGGCACTTCCAAAGATAGGGCAGCCACAGCTTCTCTGGGCAGCCTGTGCCAGGGCCTCAGCATCCTCTCAGGGAATAATTTCTTCTGGAAGGGAGTCTGAGGTCTCCCAAGAGCCTTCTCTTCTCCAGGCTGAGCACCCCCAGCTCTCCAGGCTGGCACCAGAGCAGAGGGGCTCCAACGCCGTGGACTCGCGCCAGCAGCTCTCTGTGTCAGGGACCCCCGGGCTGGAGGCAGCTCTGCAGGTGGGGTCTCACCTGAGTGGGGCAGAGGGGCAGAATTCCCCCCTCCCTTGCTGCCCACGCTGGGGGATCAGCCCTGGGGTGTTCAACACGGGGGTGTTCCTGGGCTGCCAGTGAATGCTGTCATGTTGAGCTTCTCATCCACCAGCACCCCCAAGTCTTTCCTCTCAGGGCTACTCCCACTTAATTCTTCTGCATTTGTACTTGGGATTGTCCTGTTTGTCTTCATCAAATTGTCTTCATGTTTTCCACTCTTTTTATCTGCTCATAATCTGGCAACATTGCAAAGACCTTTGCATCAGAATCCTCATCCTGGGGTCTGGCCCCATCCTGCTGAGCAAAAAGAGCATTCCCTGGCAAAGAAGCTCATTTCTCCTGGAACAGAGAGCTGCTGGCATCTGGTATTGGTGCCATGCCAGCTGCTGGGTCTAGGGCATGGACTGGGGCACCCAGCCGACTCCTCTGGCTCACAGCTCTTCCAGCCTCATTGCCCTGCTCGCCTTTGCACACCAGCACTGGATTAGTAATGGGCTATTTCTGGATGGCTCTCCTGAGTAATGGAATGAATTGTGCTGAGATTTTGGGTGGGGACAGTGCCTCTGCCCTCTGAGTCACACTCGGCATCACGCCGGGCTCGGGAGCTGCTGGGGCCGGAGCCATCCTGGGTCAGGGAGGGCACTGGAGGCCGTGGGAAGGAGCTCTGGGCGTGGGGACTGTGCTCACGCTGGGGCAGCTGCTGTCCCCCTGCAGGGCAGCATTCGGGCAGAGTGCCACTCTGGTTGGTTTTGGTTTCAGTCCAGTGTCTGCAGCCTGGGCACGGACAGATCCTGGTGTCCCTCTGTGAGTGGCTGTTTGTGTCCTTGGGCATCTCCTGCTCCTCAGGCTGCAGGTGTTGTCATCCGCCTGTGGTGTGGGTTAGATACTGGCACAGCCCAAACTGCCTTTCCTCTTGGAGATAGGGAGTCACAAAGTAGCATATCATGTTTTGCTGTGGGCAGAGAAGTTTTGTGTCTGAGTAAACAGGCTTTTTTCTCCCTGAGCGCTCCATTTTCTGTGCTGTGGACATGCTGCTGGAGAGAGGACGAGCCTTTTGTCAGACGAGAAGGATGGCTTGCAACAGGGCTTGGACTTGTACATCTTGGAGGTCTTTTCCAGCCTTAATGATTCTGTGGGACTGTGGGTTGGCCTGGTCCAGCTGGGCAGGCAGGAGCAGCAGGGCATGAGGAATAGGGACAGGAGCTGTTTCCCCCCATGCTCAGCACTTGCCTACCTAAAAAGTGCCTCTGGTTCCTAACAGGGACCCTTTGGAGCACCTTTTTCTTTTTTTCTCTGACTCCAGTGTTGCACAAATGTGCTCACCTTCCTGTAGACATTCTGCTCCACTGGGATGTGTGCCTGACAGCAAGGATCCCAGCTGAGGAACATTCCATCTCCCAGATGCAGCCCTTGATTCTCACTCTTCTCACCTTACAAGTGCCAGCTTTCTATTTTTATTAACAGCTCCAGAGCACTCAGCAGCCATGAACCCTTCCTGCCTCAGCTTGTGAGCCAAAATGCTTGGAGCCTACAAAGACCCATGGCTACAGCAGGGTCTGTTCTGGAGATGGGTGAAAACTCTCCCTCTTTTGCCCAAACCATTGGGCAGTGTGATTTGTAAAGCTGGGGTGGTTCCCGGGGTTTGTGTGACCTGCCAGGCACATGGATGAGACAAGCAGGTCTGCAGCCTGCCTTTGGAATTTGAGTCAGCCATTCAGGCTCATTCCTTAATCCTTCACTTGCAGCTAATTGTGATGCAGCCAGACTCCTGCTTTACCCTTTTCCTCCCTTTTCTGTTGGCACAGGGTAAGGGTAGGATCACTGGGCAGGGACAGATTCCTGGCCTTTGTTAAGGCTCAGTATGAGTGCCCTGGTTAAAGGCCAGGCTTGTGCTATTCTGGCCTTCCCAAGGTGATCCCAGTAATCCTGGAGTGATCCCAGCATGATCCATTCCCAGGGCTTGCAGCCCAGTGCATCAACACTGGTGTGTGTGTCCTTCCCAGAGGTTATTTCCTGTGACCCTTCCCCAGGCTCCCAGCATGAATGGCTCCTTCCCACCCTGCTGCCTGGGCAGAGGGTTTGGAGAGGGATAGGGCTGAGGGAGAGAGCATGGAACATCCCTGCCTTCAGGAGAGGTTTCTTGGTCACCTGTAATTTTCCCCAGAGCAGTGTGAATTTTCAGGGATTAAACCCTGACATGTCAACGTGTGTCATTCCCAGGATCTCTGCAGGGACAGGGGGCTGGTGATGTGCTGAAGGCACGTACAGAGTAGGACAGGCTCTTTGGACTGGGGATCTGGGGATGGAAAAGAGATTTTGGTCACAAGGTCGGGGAGGGATGTGATCCCACTGTGGCTGATTTTCTCATGCCTCATTCAGATGCTGTGCCAGGCATTTTGTGGCATTGTCCTGGCCGGTTCCCAGGCTCAGCTGTAAACCCCTTTTGAAAGTGAGGGATGCAAAGGCATAGTTTTCCTTGCAGAACTGCATCCTTTTCCCGTGGGGCAAAAAGCCGCCTGCTTTGTCCTGGGGTTTCAGCCCTGTTTGCTGAGTGATGACTGGCAGCTGCTCCCACTGCCAGTGCCAGCGACGGGTCTCTTGGTTCCTTTTTGGCAATGGCAAAAGCTCCTTTTTCAGACAGGCTGGGATGGGGCCAGCCCGGTGGTGGGTGCCAGGCACACAGGTCCTGCTTGCCCAGACCTCCAAGAGCTTGGCTTGGTGTGTTCCAGCTGCTGATCAAATTATTTGGGGTCTGGTGAGCGTGCTGGGGTGAAATCCAAAGCACAGTTTCTGCCCTGAAGAATTTATCATTTAAAATAAACCCAGCATGTGCATGGAACTCTGAGATTGTCTAAAGTCCTGGGGACCTGGGTGGTAGCACAGCAAAACCAGGGAGGTTTGGATGTCTGGGGAAGTCAGAGTGGTTTTTCAGCTCCCACAAGGTCCCTGGGTGCAGCCACGAGCACTGAGCACAGCTGGGATGGTTCTCCCAGCCACAGCAGCACTGCTAGGTGTAAATGGCTCTGGCCAGGCTGGTTCTTGTGGTGGCCATGAGCTGAGGTGTGTGGGAGCTGGAGGGCTCTGGCAGAGGGTTGGGCAAACTTCTGTCAGTGGCTTCTCACGGTGGGATGTGCCAGGTGCTTGTGTCTGGGATCGCCCAGGCTGCTGTGCACAGGAATTTGGGGGGCCAGGAACATGAACTGCCCGTGCTGCTCTGTCCTGCTCACGTGCTGGTGTCCCTGCAGCAATGGCAGCCATCAGGAAGAAGCTGGTGATTGTGGGAGATGGTGCCTGCGGAAAGACGTGTCTGCTGATTGTGTTCAGCAAAGACCAGTTCCCCGAGGTCTACGTGCCAACTGTGTTCGAGAACTACATTGCTGACATAGAGGTGGATGGGAAGCAGGTGAGGGCTATTCCCGTCCCCTCGCTCCGTGTCCCACGCTGGCAGTGCCAGTGCAGTTGCTGGGATTGCTCTGTGTGCTCGGATGCACCTGCAGCGCATGGAGGAGCCCGTGGCTCCAGCATTTCTGGGTCACCCTGAGCTTGAGTTTGAGGAAGAGCAGAGCTATACCTGAGGAAGATAAGTCTATCACTCCTGGCTTAAACTGTGCCCTTCTCCCCTGTCAGGTTGAGCTGGCCCTGTGGGACACGGCAGGACAGGAGGACTATGACAGGCTGCGGCCCCTCTCCTACCCGGACACAGATGTAATCCTCATGTGCTTTTCCATCGACAGCCCGGACAGCCTCGGTAGGGACGGGGGGTCCCCCAGGGCTCGGTGCTGCTACTGAACCCCCTGGCGTCTGGGAAGCCCTCGTGCTGCCCCTCGAGGATGCCAGAGCCTTCCCTTCGTCCCCTGACCTTGTGTGCACTTCAGAGCAGTGCTGGCAACTTGCTGGCTGGGCGGAGGTGGTGGGAGTGGGGGCGAGCTCTCCCTGCTCCAACAGGGAAAGCTTGGGGCTGGATTCTGTGAGGAAGCTGTGGGGTAGCAGCCCCTCAGCTCATAGGATTCCATGTGTGCTTGTTGTAGAGAACATCCCTGAGAAGTGGACGCCAGAGGTGAAGCACTTCTGCCCCAACGTGCCCATCATCCTGGTGGGGAACAAGAAGGACCTGCGGAACGATGAGCACACGCGGCGGGAGCTGGCCAAGATGAAGCAGGTGGGGACAGCCCTGGGTCCCCCTGGCAGCAAGCCACTTCTGCCCGTACCAGATCCTGGCTGGAAGGGCTGGATGCCCCAAGGGCAGCTGCTGTTGCGTTCTGGCAATGTTTCCAAATCCTGTTTTTACTGCTTCCTAGGAGCCAGTGAAGCCAGAGGAGGGGAGGGACATGGCCAACAGGATCGGTGCCTTCGGCTACCTTGAGTGCTCGGCCAAGACGAAGGAGGGGGTGCGGGAGGTGTTCGAGATGGCCACCCGTGCTGGCCTGCAGGTCCGCAAGAACAAGAAGCGCAGAGGCTGCCCGCTGCTGTGAGCAGCCCCGCTGCACCTGCCCAGGGAGGGGCTGCTGGCAGGCAGCCCGAGCAGCCCCTTCTGGTGCCACTACCTGCCCCGAACCCTTTGCACCAGAGCTGCCACCCACGCTCACAGGGTGTCCCTGCCACATTCCAGGGCCACGAGGGGCCAAGTGCCTTCGGTACCTGCTGCTCTCCATGGGCGCGGTGTTGCTGTCGCCCCCCGCGTCGCCCCGTTTTGTACTGAGCTCCCTGGTTTGGCCTTTCCCATGGGCATTGCTGCAGTGCTCATTCTTTCCCCAGCTCTGGGCAGGTGCCACAGAAGCAGAGGTGCCAGTCACAGCTCACCTGTGGGGTGTGCCAGGCCCTCGGTGTGTTTTGCCTGCTCTCCTTGGCCGTGGAGGCAGCACACAGCAGCGTTACAGACTTGCCCGGGCAGTTGTAGCCCTGTCTGAGCAGAGCTGGGCTCAGCTGCTGCCAGCACCTCCCCTCCCGGGACGCGTGCCCGGCTCTGCTGGTATCGCCGCCTTCCAGTCTGCCTCGGCCACAGACTTGGCAGCAGTGAACCCAACTGCATAATTGGGAGAATAAATGCAAGCTGGTATTTTAGTAAGTGTAACTTTGCTTGTGTGGTGTTCTTCTGGCTCTCCTTTATGCCTCTCACTGCTCCAGGCCCCTGCCTGGGCTCAGGGCCTTGTGCTGCAGGGTGAGGACCTGCCTGACCCCCAGCCCCTGCTGCTTTAGCTGCTGGTGGAGGATCAGGGCTCACTACCCTGTACTTGCAAAATAGCCAGGGAGCAGTTTACGTGGGAAGGGCCAGGCAGGAGCTTCCCAGCTGTACCCAGTCCCTGGCTGATAGGCACTGGCATCGCTGCTGGAGCCATCCTGCCTCTGGAGCAAGTCAGGGCAGGGCTGCAGGGAGCCTGATGCTGCTCTAAAGCCCTGTTTGTGTAAGCAAGGCCCACCTAGGACTCAACAGTACAGTGCTTTCCTTTAAACATTTATTCAAGGGAAATAGAGTGCCTGCACAGCCATGCCAGCTCTCAGGCCAGGCAGCTGCCTGGTGGAGAGCTGAGCCAGGCTGTCCCAGACCAGGTACCTGCATTGCCCAGTTTCCCATCACAGCAGCAGTGAGCTCTCCTGTGCACCCAGTGAAGCTCTTTGGACGCCAGAGTCTCCAGGCTTAAGCCTTTCACTGAATGGTGAGATCAATCACAAAAAATTGTTTTGCCACAACCATGTAAAAAAAAAATGAAAATGGAGATTGTGCCAGTCTGATGCTGGTGAGGGATTAGTGGCTGGCAGCAAAAGTTGGCAACACCGCCTGGTCCAGTGGGTTCAGCAGCATCTCCACAGGGATCCATGGAGCACCCCGGGACTGAGACAGAAAAAGCAGGAGCTGCTGCAGGCTTGGGACAGGCTGAGGGGGATGCAGCTTCGTGGGGCTTCTCCTCCCTTCCCAGGTGCATTTCCTGCAGAGAAACCTCATGGCAGAGCTGGCTCCTGACTTTGAGATGGAGACATGCAAGCCCTAAGCAAAAACCTGTTGCATTTGGGGCAGGAGCAGCCTTCCAGTGCCCAGCTGTAACCTTGGCCGTGCTGCTGCCCCAGGGTGCTGGCATGTAACCCTGGCACCCTGCTGCTGTCGGGGCCCCTCTGGCAGTGCCCAGCTCTGCTCACCTGCGTAACACTGAGCTGCAGCGTCTAGAGCTCGTTGGCCAGTCTGTCCTCAGCCGTGCCCTCGTCCTCGTAGGGGTACCCGGTGTAGCCGCCCTGTTCCTTGCAGTACCTGAGGAACCTGCAGGTGCAGCGGGAGGGGAGCGTGGGCACGAGGTGGCACCGGCCTCGCTGCTCTGTGGGCATGGCCAGGGACCAGGGGCTGGCAGCAGGAAAGGGCAGGAGCTGGGGAGCACTGCCTGTGGCCAGCAGCAGCTCACCTGCACCAGTGCTGGTCCTTGCTGAGCACGGTCGGGTTACCCACCACGATCAACAGAGCCTTGGCCCTGGTGATGGCCACGTTAAGCCTCTGAAGAGGACAAGCAAGAGGGCTTTACCTGGCTGCAACACCTCTCATCATCTCGCAGCCCCATGTGGGTGCAGGCAGCTCTGGTGTGGCATTGAGCACCCAGGGCAGCTCCACCTGCCTGTGAGAATCAGAGGGAAGAAGGGGATGCCAGGGAGGAAGGGTCTGCTCAGGGCTAGGCGATACCTTGGGGTTCTTGAGGAAGCCCAGCCTGAAGGTCTGGTCGAACTGGAGGTATGTGCTCCAGCTGCGCACGGTGGAGATGAGGATCACAAGCTGCTCCTGGCCCTGGAACTCTTCCACAGAGCCCACCTGGGGCAGGGACAACAGGTCAGGGGCCAGAAACACCCCTGGGCTGGGGCTGTCAGGGCTCCTTCCTCCTGTGCTCCTCTCTCCTCCGTGCCCAGGACATACTTTCAACTGGCTGATGTCCGGCAGCTTCTGCAGATTGGGATCCAGGGAGGTGATGGCTTTCCAGATCTTCTCTACCTGAGTGGAGGCATGTGGCAAAATTCAGCCACCACAGGGCCATCCTTGTGCCAGCCCTGGGGCTGCCCATCCATCACAGTGCTCCCTGTCCCTTGGCAGGTCCGTGCCTGTGCTCTTCCTGCAGAGCTGTGTCCCTCACCTGCTTCCTGTAGGGAGAGATGATGCCGATCTCCTTGGGGGACACAGTGGGGCAGCCTCCCTTGCCCTGGCTCTGCAGCAGCTTCTTGAGGTAGTGGACCAGGACCTCAATTTCGGCCGTGTTGAAGAATGAGGGACTCTTGGCTTCTCTCTGATCTTCCCCACAAACCCCATGGAAGATGATGGGGAAGCCCTGGGGATGGAGAACATTTGGCAATGCTCTGCCTGTGCCTCAGGGAACCCCTTGGGTCAGTCCCTCCTGCGCCCCTCACTTTTTTGGGAAGCTCCTCCCAGGTACAATACGCATTCCGGATGTCAAGCCCATCGCTCTTGCACACCTTCAGCTCATTGTCATAGAAGAGCTCGTTGGGGATCCTGAGAATGGCCTCGTGGGACCTGGGAGAGGCAGGACCGTGCCCAGGGTGGGTGCCATGTGGGTGCATTCCCATCTCCCACACCAGCTGGAGCACCACGAGGTTCTGGGGGACAGATGCTGGAGCGCCATGCTCTCCAATCCCTGCCTGGCTCAGCCCCTTCCTGCACTATCCCTGAACCCACCTGTAGTTCCAGAGCAGTTTGGTGATGAACTGTGGGTTGTATCCTCCACTCGACTTCTCGTACAAGGGGTTGTGCAGCATCAGCCTCTCCAGCAGCGAGGTGCCTGTGCCCAGTGATATCCTGTGGCTCCCCACAAGGCCACTGAGCCCCTGTGGGGCTGCCTGCAGCACTCCCGCTCCTCTCCCTACTCACCCAGCCCATACTGGATGGCCAGTGGTGAGGTCAGGACAGGGCCAAGCTGCTTGGGGTCTCCTGCCAGCACCAGCTGCCCCCCGTTGGGGTTGGTCTCCTCATCCATGGGCGCCAGGAGCCCTGGGAACAGGGAGAGCTCAGTGGGGAATGGGAGGGACCCCAGGCCGTGCAGAGATGCTGGTCCTTGAGGCAGCAGCCGGGCACCACTCACCCGCGATGGCGACCACGCTCTCCGGCTCTACCGCATGGCCGCACTCGTCGATGAAGACGTGGGAGAAAAACCCAGGGGGGAAGTTGGCTGACACCAGCCTGGAGGAGAGATGGAATGAGGCTGTTCTCAGCATCCTGCCCCACCTGGCCACCCTTCCTCTCCTACCCTTCATCCTCATCCTCCCACAGAGGAGGTATTTCCCCCCTCTGCTGCCTGCCCTCCTCCAACCCCTCCCTGCTGAATCCCAGAGGGACTGCCTTCACAGCTTGGCTGCAAGGCAGCCCTGGGTCCACCTGCCACAGATGCTGGGGACAATCACAGCTCCTCTGACCTTCCTGCTGTGACCAGTGTGGTGATGATAATCCGGTAGGGCCTCAGGCTCTCCTTGCTTGGGTACATGTAGCTGCTCTGCTCATCGTCCCAGTTGCAGCAGGGCTGGAGCACAGGCATTGGGTGAGGTCCCATCATCCTGGGGACACCAGCCCAGATGTGCTGTCAGGATTTCAGGGTGGAGGGGCAGGGACCTACCATGATATCAGTGGGCACTTCCCTGTAGCTCCTGGAGCTCGCAATGAGCCTGTAGACATTCCGAGGGGCAATGTCCTTGATGAGGCACTGGCACAGCAGGTCTGCAGCGCTGTTGGAAGGGGCACAGGCCAAGATACGGGCATCCTTGAAGCATGTCCACACCTGGGTGGGAGGAGGAGATGACGGCATTGAACCTCACGGATGAGAACGGGCAGCAATGCTCAGGGCTGGATTTGGGCACCGGCCACTCACCTGCTTGATGGCCTCCACCATAGTGACCGTCTTGCCAGTGCCAGGGGGTCCAAAGATGAGGTACGGGGCTGGCCGGGACACCCCCGTCACGATGTGGGTCACAGCTCTGCACTGCTCCTCGTTGGTCTCCAGCTTGCGGTTAAACCACCTGTGGGAGCAGAGGCTGCACTGCCGGGGCCCCACCGCCTCCACCTCCAGGCCCTCCCTCCCTGCAGAACTGGGCACTCACCGGGGCTGGAAGGGGCCCGAGAAGAGGGACTTGTGGCAGGAGGTGGAGGGGAAGAGGAGGCTGAACAAGCCACGGCGCACGGCCAGGACTGCAGCCCGGTGCTGCACCTGCAGTGGCAGCCGGTTGAAGGTGAAGGTCACATCGAACTTCAGGTTTTTCACAAACTTCTTCTGCAGCCTGGGAAGGAATGGTGTGAGCATGGCACGGGGCACTCTCTCATGCCCTCCTAGCCCTTTCCAACCCACTCCTGGCCTTTGGCATCTGTGAGAAAGGCTGCTGGGACCAGACATCACTCACTTGGAGGAGAAACCCAGCCTGACCTTCTCCAGTTCCACGCTGTGCACGTAGGCCTTATACCGGACGAGTGGGGAGTGGTCCCGCTTGCTGCTCAGGTGGGCAAAGAGGTGGTCCCCTCTCAGCAGGGACGGGCGGTTCTCGGCCACGCCAGGCACCTGTGCCAAAGGACCAGTGTGATGCCAGGCGCTCTGGGAGTGCCAGTGTTGTGCCAGCACCCCTCCTATCCCTCAGCCCCCTACGCACATCGAGAACCAGCAGAGCTCTCTCCTGCACCATGGTCACATCCCGCATGTCGTAGCGTCGGATGTCCACCTCCATCTGAATCTCCTCCAGGTACAGCAGCAGCTGGAATTTCTGCTGGTAGTTCTCAGCCTGCAGAGGTGCTTCCAGCAGCGAGCTGAGGGCAGCAGCAATGTCATTGTGTCTCAGGGGCAGCTTGGCACTCAAGGAACACCTCAGCATTGCTCTCTGCCCTTGGCACTCACCACAAGGCAGCCCAGCTGGAGCTGGCACTGGTGTTGGGTCCGAGCAGGATCATGTCCTTGAGGCTCTTTGGGTACCTGTAGGTACCCAGAGGGATTTCCGTCTCCAGTTCATTTTTCAGGGAGCTGTGTGGAGGGTACAGTTGTGCTTCAGGGACTACATAGTGCCCCCAGCCCCAGTGTCACTGTCACTGCACAGGGTTGAAGCACGATCCTGTGGTGCCAGACAGTCAAGGAGCGAACCTTGTCCTGGCTGAAGAACAGCCTGGGCCCCTCTGCTCGGGATGGCAGCATGTGACTTCATCACATACCTGTCAGGGGGGATGCCATCCTCAGTGATGACTGTGACAAAGCTTTGGAGGCTGGCCTCGTAAGGCTGGAAAGGTGCTGAGGGCCCCAGGTCCTTGGCCAGCTGGCTCTCAGCAATGGCAGCAACATAGCGTGAGATGCTGAAGGACTCGCCTGGTTCCTTGGTGAACTCGAAGACCACCAGAGCACTGAAGTGCCCGTTGCAGGTGGTGAGGCACCGCACCTGGATGGGGTACATCCCACCTGCGGGGTGAAGTGGTGAGATTGGGTCCTGCATCCTCTCTGCAGGGCAGGGCACGGGGAAGGGGATGGGAAGGGGCCCTACCTGGGTGTAACAGCAGGGACTGGCCCTGCACTGCCCCCTGCTCATCGGTGAAGGACAGCTCCCGTGACTGCTTGTGTAGCTGGAACCGCTGCAGGGTCACCACCTCGCTTCCACAGTTCTGCACCAGGATGGTGACTGTCCGGGGCTCACCCGGCACCACTGGGAAGCGGATATTCCCGTTGCCCTGGTCACAGTCTGAGGTGATCTCCACCCCGTGCTTCTCACGAATGCGCTTGGCCCTGTGGGGAGGGAGGGTCAGGCTTTCCCAGCTGGGCTGGGGGATCCAAGGGACATGCCACGGTGGGGTGCTGCTGGTCATACCACTGCTTGCCATGGCTCTCGGGCATTTGTGGAGTGGAGCTGAGCTGCTGTCCTGAGGCAGACGTGGACACGGATGTCTGTGCATTCCTTCTGGTTCGTCGGTACTGGTCTGCCACCACCAGGCGCCTTTTCACCTGCAAGGAGCAGCCAGACCCAGCGTGGCCCCAGGATTCTGCAGGGGGCTCCTGAGGAGCCAGTCCTGGTGGGCACTGCCCCAGCATGAACTCACCTTGAATTTCACCACCTCTCCATGCACCTGAATCTGTTGGGTTGTCTTCAGTGCGTACAAGATGCAGGAAAATCTGGGTGTCTTTGCATCAGTCCTGTGGAGACAAGGGACAGGGTTTCTGTGGGAGTGTGGCTTGGCTGCCATGGGCACAGAAACCCAAGGTGAGGCAAGTGAGAAGATGAAGTAGGACACCGAGGCTGCAGTGAGGGAGTTCTCAGCAAGTCCCCTCTGCTCCAGGAGAGGAAGAAGGACTTGGGCTTCCCACTGGCCTGTGCAAACCTCACATCCCTGCTGGCTGCTCCAGCAAGTCCGAGCTGTGCCATTGTTGTCTCAGCTATGCCACAGCCATCCCAGCTGTCCCACTGCCTGGCCTGACAGCCATGCAGTCCCTGTCCATGCAGTTGAGCTGGCACAGGTGGTGGCTCTGCTAAGGCACAGCCACTGTTCTCCCAGCACTGACTCCCCAGGTTCCTCCTCCCAGTCCTACCAGTGCACTGAGCCCTGGCTTTGCCAATGATCGTGCAATGTCACAGTGGTGACACTGCATAAGGGCCAGTGTGATTGGTGCCAGCAAGGTGAGGTCGGGGTGGGCAGGGGGTGTCCAAGGCCATCCCTAGGCAGTTGCTGGGGGCCCACGGAGCTGGGGATCATCCCGGCAGGGTTTGGTGAGACAGACGAGCTTGGAGACCCCGGTGATGCTGGCCAGGCACTGGGGATGCTGGCCTGGGATCTGTCCCAGGTGATGTCGCCCGGATCTGGCCGAGGGCTCTCACCTGGCCCGGAACTCCTGGTTGTAGATGGTCCGCAGCGTTTCCCGCAGGCTCCTCTGCTCCCGGCCCGTGTCCTGCAGGAACTGCACGAACTGATTCCCCCAAAGGCTGCCCTCCGCCACGCTGCACCGCGGCATGGTTGAGCCGCGCCGCGCCGCGCCGCGCCGGTACCGCATCCAGCAGTGCCCGGTTGACCCGGACTGGACCGGTCTGGGCTGGGCTGGGCTGGGTCGCACAGGGAGAACGAAAGCAAAAGAAGCCGGGACCCGCCCACCTGGCCCGGGCGCACCGGGGGCCGGCAGCGGGGCTCAGAGGGCTGGAGGGGGAGAGGGGAACCAGTCGGTCTGAAGGATGATTACCTGAAGATTTGGAGAAGGACGAAGAGATAGAAACGCTCCTAAGGCTGGAACGCTGGCGGTGGAGTGCTTCCAGTGTAACCAAGGAGCAGACAGACTAGCCTTGAGGCAGATAAAAGCTGTGCTGTGTGCAGAGTCTTATCTTGGGCCCTGCTTCGGCTTCACATTCTTGGAATTACTACAGCGATTTCCTGGATGCGTCCAGGGCCGCAGCCCACAGCACCTGAGGCTCACACAACCTTTCATCTCTCCTGGGTGCTGCCTCTTGAACTGTCCATGGGTCTGCCCTGTGCAAACCCTCCAAAAAGCCCTGCTTTGTCCCATGTAGGATACAACCTGGAGTGTATGAAGTAGGTGTTAAAGAAAGACACCGAGGGTAAGTGGAATAACCTCCTTGCTGCCTTTTTTCCAGGGTGAGGAGCTGCATTAAAGCTCTGTGATAGTTTCTATTTTAGTTTGGAAGCTCAGCCCTCCAGGTCCTGTGTCTGTATACTAGGACGGGAGCACCACCCATGGGTTTGGAGTGATACCATCCCTGCCTTAATAACGGAACTGTTAAGGTTGGAAAAAAACTTTGAAATCATTGAAAACCAACCATCAACCCAGCACCACCGTGTTCACCACTAAACCAGGTCCTCAAGTGCCACATTCACATTTTTGAACACTTCCAGGGATGGCGATGCCAACACTTCCCAGACTTCAGGAATTAACAAGAGTGAGACCATGAAAGAACAGACACAAATGGCTTTAAACAAAGACTGGTGTATTTGCACTAGACTTATTGATACAGAGCATGCCTGAGGGGTGAATTGTCAGTCTGAGCAGCAAATACAAATATATTTTAATTAGATAAAACTCACAAAGGATAAAAACTTATTTTGTGGTGTTACTGTGCAAAACCTAAAGTGTAACTCACAGACAACTCCGTCCCAATCTTCCCAACCGTTTTTCCTTTGTGTATTTAAAAACAAGAAAACATGAGCCACTTTAAAAAACAGAATCTGTAAGGCGCCCAGTGATAACCAAGTGCAAACAAAGCAAAGGGAGTTCACTTTGTAGTGAATCTATGTTCCAAGATCTGAGAAAGGCGTATGCCTATCTCTTCGTCCTCCCCTCCAGAGAAACTGTTATGACTGCTAATTTTGATGTTAGAGTGGGAAAACAGTAATGCAGAGCAAGCACACAGAACAGATTCATTCCGAAATCCCCTCTAAGCATGACAAGAAACTGTCCACAACTGAGACAAATGGAAAAGATTTTTAATTTCACTTTGGTGCAAGTTTATTTATTTTGTACACTATCCATCCATACACCTGTGATACAAATCTATGAACCTGCCACAAAGCATTAAAGCACAACATACCTATTATTTTGTAGACATTTGCATTTTTAGTCACCATCCAGCCCTTGTGAATCAGCAGTGACTTATCTTGCAGTTCTGTAAAAATGCAGATGTCTGGTAACCGTACATACACGAGGGAGGGGAGAAGAAAGATGTTCACTTTTAGAGAACATGGCTCAAATCTTCAGATTAAAAAAAAGTTACGTCCCTGGAAGAGCTGGGTCAGTAGGGAATTCTGTAAAGGATCCTGTAAACTCATTTTCTACAGCAAAATCTAAGCCTGCAGGCATCTGCTTTGTGGAGGCTGGGAATAAGAACACACGAGAACTCACTGTCTTGCACTTACTTTGTCTTGCAGCGCCATGAGCTCTTGGCAGGTTTAACAGACTTACTGGATACCTGGAGTGCTGGATACCGGTGAAGGAAACGCTCTGCACCCTCTCGTGGGGTAATAATAGGGCTTTTCCAGCTAGGAAGTTTTCCAGCCAGTGACTGAAAACAGCTATATTTCTGAGCCATGAATGGCTGAATTTAAATGACCTATTAAATGCAGCTACAACAGGAAGTTTATGTGGCAGGAAACACAAAACACAAAGACAACTATTTGTTCCACGGTTCCCTTTCAGGCTAGAAAACCTGTTAACTTTGAAAGCCCTAAAAAATCTTCTCTGGTTTAAAAACCATCTACTTGGCATAGGACCATATTTGTTTTTTTGCACATGAATTTTTCATACACCTCCTTCTTTCTGCATTAAGCATTCTGCATTTCTTTGCCAATCTTGTAGCTGAGGATTTTGTTCCAGTCAATCTTGGTGCGGGTGACGGGCAGCTGCCGGCGTAAGGCTTTGAAGGTGGTGTCTGACATAGTCTGGTAATTTTCACTGATTGCTGTCTGCAAGGGCAAGCAGATTTGGTTAGGGCACACATAAAACACTATGAGAAAGCTCAACTTGGTGTGTTAAAGCCACAAACTCCCTTCTGTAAGGTGTAATGCACACGATTAACTAAATTAATAATGCAGTCATTAGTGTGTATACAAGTCAAAGGCTTTCTATTCACCTCTCCTGTATTGTAGCAGCACCTCCTTAGGTCTTTCACTGACTTACCTCTTTCCAGTCTCCTTGCACAGAGGCTGGGACAATGTAAAAGCTGTTGCACAAGTTTCCTCCTCAGAATTTTTAACTGTCACAGAGGAAACTAGATTGACACACCCACTCCCCTCCCATGCATGTTCCAGGTATCATTTGTAACCCTTTAAAAAAACCATACAGCAAACCTGATAGCAAATTACAACACAGCTTTATAACTTTACAGCTTTATAACTCTATTTTTTTAAACAAATACTGCTGTCCTTTTCTAAGTAATTCTTACAGGCAATACCATATTCAGCCAGGAACAGAATTAGAGGTCAGTTTTCCATTTTTCCATTAACTGCAAATGGAGACTGATACGATTCTGTTCTATTTAACTACCACTGATCTTACCTGATACTCGTTCTCTGCATTTTCTATGATCTTAATAAAATCCTTAGCAGTTTGGACATCACTCTGCAAAGGAAAAAAAAAAGTTGCATGTTTAAGAGCAATTTACATAAGCTACACAACAGATTTCTTCTCAAATGATAGGGTAAGTATAGATAAAGTAGGTAATATCAGCAGCTTGTGCCTTGAGGCTGTCTGGGTTCCCTTCACTTACTACATACTGGCCAGAGCTTGTATTCCAAACTGGAACAGAGCTGCACCCTAGTGAGCAAAAAGGAACTGGACCTTCATGTAAAATGAGTCACTTTGCAGCTGCTGCGTCCCCTACCATACTGGCAGATCTCTCTTACTTGTGAGGATGCTGGACTCCAGGACGGTTTGGGTGGACGGAGACGAGAGATCTCTGAAGGCTGCTCTTAGAATATCTGGTTTATTAGAAAGGGTGAGAGGCCCTGCTTGGAGTCACCAGATGTGACCTGTGGCAGACCCTAGGGAGTGGGGGAAGGGAGAGGCAAGGGGTAGGGGGAGATAAGAGAGGATCCCAAGAGGGAGAGGATGTTCCAGGAGAGGGGCAATTCCAAGAGAACAGAAGTTCCAAGAGAGTGTCTGGCTCCTCAGGGACTCCTTGTCAGGGGGTTCAAGGTGGGCTGGAACAAGACTTCGGCCAATGGGGTCACAGACTCCTGATGCTTCAGGGGAGGGTTACAGGTGTGGGATGAGCCACACATTGGGGTGAGATCCAACAGTTCATCTGACCCTTGGACCTACCTCTAGGTAAGGGCATTGTTCAAGCAGAAGGGGGGATTGCCTTCATCCTGGCTGTACTATTGTTTTCTAGTTGTTTGGTAACTAAGGTTTGGTATCTCAAAACTTGTTACCATCTCAATCTCTGTATTTTCTAAATCTTTTGCCAGGCAGTCATATTTATAAGGCTTTCCTATTTCATTTTCCCCAACACTTACTGTTTCTTTCCCTTGTGCAAAATAGAAAAGCATATTCTGTCCTTTTTAACCCTAGCTTCCAAGAGAAGCTTTCCAATAGAGACTTTCTAATATGACTGAATTTTAAGCAATTGTGAATCTGGAATTCCTACCTGACTCTAAACACCATATTGACTGTTCACTCTAAAATTACTTTAAAATCAAGAGAATGCAGTCATAGCAGTGCATGCTTCATGAGCTGTTAAAGGAATGCAAACAGTTGCTTATCATGTAGATTTTTTAGCATACTTACTGACACCTGTACAGAGTCCTGAATGTCTTTGTGACTAACCAGCTGGACGTTGCCATCTTCATAGTAATGGACCTGGACAAAAAGACAGATTGCAGGTTTTATTATGACCACTCACTCCAGAATTCCTGAACCCCCAAATGCTACTAAAATGGTGCAACAGATCATTGTGCCAGTGTTCTCTGCTTACACAGAGACTAATAGCAGGATGGATTTTCTAAAAGGTTTCATTCTTTGTCAAGACTGTTCAAGATTATGTTAATTAGTAAATACCTAGAGCTGAGGTAAGAGCAATTATAAAAGACTCAAGGTAGAGGTTTTAGTCCTATAAAGTGAAGCAAAGTGGAGGCCTATAGGGTAATGCTATATAATAAACTACAGGCCAGATCTGAGACTATTCCTGAAATACTAGATTTAAGAATTACTTTCTTGAATTGTTTAGTTTAATAACATCCTGACTTGAGAAGTTCATCTCTAGTGCATTTCAGCATCTCATTCTGAGCCAAATGCATTTGTGTAAGAGAAGCACAATGCAGCTTCTCCTGTTACTGCCAGGAAAAATAAATAACTCACCTGGATTTTGAGCACTGCAGCCACTTGAGCTGTTGGTGGTGTGATGGTAAACTTCCATTCTGATCTCCAACGCCCATTCCTAAAAGCAATCAAAGCATGAAAAAGCTATTTCCAAGAAGCTCTAACAGCAAAAAGAACAAAATTAACAACCAAGTTTTTTCTGATGTTGTCTTATCAGCAATACTACATGGGATTTAGTGCT